AATATCAAATACAGGATAAATATATATTTCTAACTGCTTTCTTCTATCTGATCCAAAAGATAACTACACAAAATAATTATAAAACTATATTGCTGACAGGCTTATATAAAAAAGGTAATTTTAGTGAAAATACACAATCTATGGTATGCGTTAGATCTTTGCTTATGAAAGAAGTGGTCAGGTCATGACAACAATAATTCAGCATGACATGTGGTAATGGACTTTAATCTTTGAGTCACTAATTATCTTTGACTATATGACATATCCTGAAAGCTAAAACTTACTTTCCTGGATTATTTTTTTTAACTTTTTCTTCAGACAATTTCAAACATAGACAATACAGGTAAATAGGCTTCAAATTGTCTTTGTTCAACAAATTCTTCCCTTTCTGGTTTACAGTTGTCATAAAATATGCACCAGAATGCAACATCATAAAATACGGAGGAGGAACTGTGTAGAAGTCCCGAAGCTCCATAAAAGTTATGTCCTACAACACCCGACTGGTGTCAGCCATCAAATGACATCCCATGGGTCAGACTCTTCATGGAGGGCTTTAGGGTCCACACATACAGACAAAAGTCATCTGACATAGGCAGCTCTCCTGAGTCTCAAAGGACCAGCTTGTTAAGGCTTTTAAGTTCTTTCTTCTGTCAATTTGTGAATAAAAAGTTACCTTCTCTGATTTTTTGTTCAAGTCCTTTGTTTTACCAATCTCCTACTTCTGCAACTGCATTTGTACAAAACCTACCAGATCTAGGAATCTTAGAAAATTGATCTGATAGAGTCCTTTCCTGGGAATGCTACCAGGTACATTTTTGTTTTTTTGTGGGGTTTTTTTTGTGTGTGTTGTTTTTAACCAGGGGATGGTACCTGTGGATATTTTTCTGCTGCAATATTGGTTTCATAATACTATAGGTATATTATCTACAGAAAATAATTTTTTTATAATGTGAGCATTTAAAAATTCATCTCACCCAAAATTTAAGCTTCTTCGAGCATTTGATGTTACATTCATTCTATCTGTTGATGGGCTTGGAATCATGTGACGTCCAGGAGACATTTTCTTGACTTCCCATGCTAGTGAGGTTGGTCTGCCAGTTCAGAACACATATCAGATTAATTTAACAGAAAAGGTGGAAAAACAAACTAATCTTTTCTCTTGATTGTTAATGAATAAAAACATGATTAAGTCATAAAACTGAGTTATAAGGCCTACAGCATTACTTACCAGAAACTTGACATGCTAACAGTGAGAACTCAGTGCATGGCCCAGGATTTTCCACACAATGAAACAGAACAACAGAACACTACTTCTCTCAAAAGGTTATGAGGTTACAAAAGACAAGAGAGACACTTCTTATGATTCACAAGCCTCTCACATACTCAGAAAAAAAAAAAAAAAACATGTAAAAAGCAGTAGTACTAATCCAGCTATTTTGACTGGTGTCCTAAAGGATTAAGTTTGTGGAAAAATGATCAAACAAAGAAAATACTGAGGGTTAAAGGAAGAATACACAGGAAGATTTAAAGTCTCCTCTATTCTCCTCATGAGAATAGAAATACAAAAACTTCATTGCTCTTTAATGAAAAAGCTAAATGGTGTGTTCATTGCCCTGCAACAATCAGTTGATAGGATGCACACCTTACTGAGATGGCTTCCCTAAGCATCATCTTCCTCTAGTCCTATTCAAACCTGTCATTGCAGTCGGTCTTTCCAAAGCTCACTCACCATTCCATGTAGTCATTAGGGTACTTTATCCTCTCACTTTAAAAAATGATTACCAATAGAAAACATGAGAATTCAGATAAAATATTATTCATTACCAAATAATCTTTCTGAAAGAAGTCACATTCCTACAGATAGAAAGTTTCTTTTCCATTCAGCTTTGTTATCCTTCCTTTAAAATGTTATTGGAAAATGGCTTATCACTGTCTTAGTCTTATCAGTTCCAAATTTTTTATTATAACTAGTAAGGATAAAATGCTACTGGTCATTTGAATTTTTTCTTTGAGTTCACATGTTGGTATTTTTGGTTCATTTTGTTTCCACTGGATTTTGTATCATTTTCTAAATGATTTGAAGAAGTTTAGTACAGTAGCTATTAAGACTTTCATGGCTACAAATGTGTCGTCATTGGTGTACAAATATTCTTTAAAATTTTTATATATAAAGACTAGTTTTCTTCTTATTAAATAAAGTGAATCATTATTTTCCTTGGTAGTTTCTAATTTTATCTTACAAAGTCTTTATCCAAAATATAACTATATAAATGCTCATCCGTATTTTCTTTAAACAAATACAACTTCAATTCTAACCTTTAAATCCCAAGTCTGGCTGAAATAAATTTTAATGCATGATTTGATGAATGCACAGTGATTAATGGCATCAGTAGAAAATTTAAGGTTGTCTTCTATATCTGGGAGCTGTTTCATGAGGCCAAGAGAAGATGTGCTGATAATCAATTAAGATAAAAAGAGATGCCCTGTAGGCAGGGTAAATAGCTCAGTAAAGAGACTGCCATGCATAAAAACCTTAATTTAGATCACTAGCATCAGGTACCATGGCATACATTTCTAATCCCAGACTTGGGAGACTAGAGTCTGGCAGATCTCTGCAGCTCGCTGGCCAGCCAGTCCAGGTGAACTATGAGCTCCAGGTTCAGTGAGAGTCCTGACTCAAAACATGGCTGAGAGCAACTGACTGCCCTCAACTCTGGCCTCAACTCTGGCCTCCACATGCAAATATATGCCCATGCACAGGTATACACATGTACATGTGTACACACCCACCCAAAGATAGATTTCTCTCTCACACACACACACACGCACACACACACATATGCATGCACACATGCAAACACTTGGACTTGAGCATAAATCTTATTCTGCTCTTTCCTGTTGGTAATTCAATGCAACAGGCTAAGAAAGCTACCACATGCTAGGATAGACAGCACTACAATGATCTTGGATACCTTATGCACAATAACAATAATGATATGAGTTTTGTGCTATATTTCACTCCCTGCATTTCCTACCATGTCACTAGTAATCTTTAAGGAAATGTGTGTAGTTGGAATGTACATGTTTGACTTCACATGAATGTACATGACTTTATTTGAATCAAAGAATCACAAATGAGTCTCAAGTATTCCCATGTGCTTTAAGTGTCTGATGATTATGAGATAAAATATATGATAACTTGAAAAGATGTAATGAGAATATTGGGCAGTAGACCAGAGTATAATAATAATTAGGGTACATAATCAGGCTTTCTAGTTTTCTAGTTTTCAAAAACTGTAAAAAATGGAATTTTGATGTGTTATTTTAATTTTCAGTAGCAAGTAAATATGCATCAAGGAAATGAAAAAAAAAACAATTTTCATTATTACCTACCACAGTGAGAAAATATACTATACCTTTCTCTAGGTTATTTTTACTTCACACATGCCCCACACCTAAACTGTTTTTTCTCTTCATCTGAAAATGGCCAACCAGTTGGCCAAGTCCATTACATCCATTAATACTTCTGTACCCCCTATGAACTCTTTCCTGATCTACCCTCCAAAAGATGTGCATCACCTATATATAGTTTTGTGTACAAGTTCTATTTTATACCCTTAGGCCACAAACCATGTATCATATACAGCAATCAAATTTCTGCACTAAATAATATACCATGAACTGGCAGGTGCATAATAATAAGTATTTGTTACTGAACCAAATGACAAATGCAGCACCCAACTATTAAGTTTTGCAAGTTTCACGTCAATCTGCTGTTAAGTCTGTTGTCCAATATATGTTTCAATGTCTGCGACTGAAACTGGGGTTGCTATAAATACCAGAGTTCTTTACCTGCTTTGAGCATCTGTCTTCTCTAACTTCTCCTGAAGCTGAATCCAGTCAATCAATGCTTTGAAATCTCTCACATAGTAATCCAGCATCATTAACACCTCCTGATTAAAGTAAACCAAAACCATTAATTTTTATTTGGAATAAAAAGCATTTTAAAAAAAAGTTATTTCAGTGAGGGGTTTACAAATTAATAATTTTTACATTTGCATTCATTAAAGAAGATTTATATAACAAGTGATCTAATTTTTCTTTTAATTTTTAGGATTTTTTTTTTTTTGTCTTTTTTGAGATAGGGTCTCCTTGTAGCCTCAGCAGGCCTAGAACACACTCCGGAGACCAGACTGGTTTCAATCTCACAGAGATCAACCTGCGTCTGCCTTTTTAGAGTACTGGGATTAAAGGCAAGCACCACCATGCCCCCCACTCTTTTAGTTGTTTTTCTTGCTTTTTTTTTAATTCTGTTGAATGAGATAATATCAAGTTATGAAGTTGATAGTTTAAAGACCAAGAAAAGGTACTAATATGTCTTCTCAAATAGCAATCATTTTAATCTTTTTATAAAAGTTCATATATAGAAAAGTACACAAAATATAAAACACAAACAAATTGTTGTAAAGAAAAAACATGTCAACACCAGCAAATGCATAAATGAATAAGTTATTGCAAAGACCTTCTAAATACTAATCATGACAAAGAATACAATACTAGTCTAAAAGTTCCTTGGTGACCCCTTCCAATCCCTATCTACTTTGCCTCTCCTCTGGGGTAACCAATGCCTTGATTTCTCATGCTATCTCACCTGACTGCCTTAGTACCTCTAGTATAATACTTATTACAAGAGACAAGAGGAGGGATCACTGTCTGAGTCCTCATATTAGAGAGGAAAGCTTTCAGGTTGACACTATTAAATTCCATTCTTGTTCAGATTTTTCACAACCTTTATCAGACTGAGGAACTTTACTATTTTTCAGCTTTCACCCTATTTTGTTGTTCATTTCAATATGTATTTTTAATTCTTTTATATTTATCTGGGTGTGTGTGTGCACGTGTGATGACACATAAACCATGGTGCACATGTTGCAGTCAGAGGACAACTTTTTGGAGTTGTTCTGCCCTCTCATCTTTACCTGAGTTCTGGGGATTGAACTCAGGTTGTCAGGATCATGCATCTTTACCCTCTAACCCATCTTGCTGGCCCTCTATTTTAATTCTATAAAGTCCCCCTTCATTATGGCTTAGTCCTTATCCCACATTTATTGCTTTTATTATCATCGATAATTTTTTTCTAATTTCTACCACAATGTCTTTAAGTATTTTGTTATTTTTATTTTATGTGTATGTGTGTATTGCCTGCATGTAGGTAAATGCACCGTGTCATACAATGCCCGTGGAGGACAGACGAAGCTGTCAGATTCCCTGGAACTGTAGTTACAGACAGTTGTTAGCTGCTACATGATTGCTGGGATTCGAACCCAGGTCTTCCGCAAGAACAGCCAGTGTTCTTAACCACTGGGCCATCTCTCCAGCCCCATGCAATGTCTTTTTTAACAAACCGATTATTGAGCAAGGTTTTCCTAAGTTGGTCCATTCAGAGTTCTCTATTTTCTAGATCAAGACCCTATAAATTCATAGAATGTCTACCTCACTATCGTAAGCTTTCAGAAGGTTTGATTCAAGCCATCTAGGTTTTCTAGTTATCTTCAATGGGAGAACTGGTCTAAATTGCCTGCTCCCTCCTACTAGAAAATTTGCTGTAAACAGACCTGCTTTGGGAAATGTTTTTTAAAATCTTTACAAATAACACAGGTCACAAGCATAGCTACACATAAAGAAAGATGCAGTATTTATATAATCCAACATCCACTTGTAATTTTTTGAAATTTTTCAGTAAACTGGGATTAGAAAAGAATTTCTTCAATTTCATTAGGAATATCTGTAAGAAGGGCTAGAAAGATGGCTCAGCAGTTAAGAGCACTGGATGTTCTTGCAGTGGACCTGGGTTCAAGTCCCAACACACACATGGCAGGTAACACCTGTAACTCCAGTTCCAGGGGAATCCAATGCCCTCTTCTAACCTCAGCAGGCACTGTATGACACAGGTATACTTACATACATGCAGATAATACACTCATACAAAAAAAAAACAAAAAATAATAAATAAAATGTATATCTAAAAAAAGAATATAAGGTGTGGTGGCACACATATTTAATCCCAGCACTTGGGAGGCAGAGGCAGGAAGATCTGTCAGATAGAGGTCAGCCTGGTCTCCATGGTGAGTTTCAGGACAGCTGGGGCGACAGAGAGATGGAGGAGGGGGAGGGGGAGGGAGAAGGAGAGGGGGAGGAGGAAGAGGAGGAAGAGGAGGAGAAGAGGAGAAGGAGTAGAAGGGGGAGGAGGAAGAGGAGGAAAAGAGGAGGAAGAGAAAGACGAGAAAGAGGAGGAAGAGGAAGAAGAGAAGAAGGAAGAAGAGGAAGAGACAGAGGAAGGGGAAGAGAAAGATGAAGAGGAAGAAGAGGAGGAGGAAGAAGAGAAGAATAAGAGGAAGAGGAGGAAGAAGAGAAGAGGAGAAGAAGAGGAGGAAAAGGAGGAGGAGGAAGAGAAAGAAGGAGGAGGAAGAGGAGGAAGGAGAAGAAAAAGAAGAATGCCTATAAGAAAAGTCAACTCCAAATGGATCAAAGACTTCAATATAAAACTTGAAACGCTGAAACTACTAGAAGAAAATAGGCAGTACCCTACAAGATACAGGTGTAGGAAAAGACTTTCTAAATCAGACATCAGTAGCTCAGGAATTGAAGTCAACAATCAACAAGTGGAACCTCATTAAACTATAAAGTTTCTGCATAGCAAAAGAAATAACCAAGGAAGTGAAGAGAAAACCCACAGAGTGGGAGAAAATCTTCATCAGTCACACATCTGACAGAACTTTAACAGCTGGAATATACAAAGAACTCAAAAAACAAAGAAAGAAGAAAATAACCCAATAAAAAGATGGGCTAAGAACCTGAACAGAGACTTCTCAAATGAAGAAATAAAAATGGCTAAGAAGCATCTTAAAAACTGTTCAACATCCTTAGTAATTAGAGAACTGCAAATAAAAACCACTTTAGGATTTCATCTTACCCTGGTCAAACTGGCTAAGATCAACAGAACAAAAGACACCAAATGTGGGTGAGGATGTGGAGAAAGGGGAACGCTCATTCACTACTGGTGGGATTGCAAACTCATGCAACCCGTGTGGAAAGCAGAAATAAACCTAAATATAAACATATGCTGAAATTAACTTTTTGACAAGGACATCAAGGATAGCCTCATCAATAAATGATGTTAGGAAAACTGAATAGCCACATGAAAAAGACTCAAACTAGCCTCTTGTCTTTCTTACAAGACAAAGATCTACTCGAAGTGGATTAAGGGTAGAAATATAAAACCTGAAACTGTAAAACTCCTAGAAGAAACAAAGTAGTAAATTTCCTTGGCAATTACACACACACACACACATGCACGCACACACACGCACGCACATATGCACACATGCACGCACACAAAAATGAACAAGTGAAAAATTATCTTACAGATAGGGAACTAATATCCAAAATATGCAAGGAAAAAAATTGTATAACTCAGTAGCAAGAAATCCTTATTTAAAAGTAGACAAAGGACAAAAAATAAGAGGAGGACTTAGATGAGACAAAAATAATATACACGTAATCTTAAAATTTCTAAGGTCATAGTTTAGTCAACTAGTTCAAGGAACAAAATATATGTCTAGTCAAGGATTATCTGAGAATGTTTGGGATTTGCCCAAGCCTTATCTACATAGTACATGGTAATTAAAAGTACCAGACTGGTGGCATGTTTAACAGCCAGTTTTTGAGGCCTATACTAATCTGCTCAGAAGGACTTAAAGGACAGTTTTTGCTCCTTGCCCTCCAAGGTCTACAAAGTTCCAGGGGACTATGGAGCATCTCTCAAAATGTCCTGTAACTGTGGTGAGTCACCTATCCTCCTGTTCAGGAAGGCCATGGAGATCCCACCAGATGGACTTGAACCAGTGTCCATTCTACAGAGAGGAGGGTCAACTCAGAGGAAACATCTTATCCATGCTTCTAAGTGAAGCCAGCCATGGTCAAGTAGGACCTTTGACTGATCTTCACATAGATGGAACTGGTGAAAGAAAAGCACCAGGGGCTCCTCCCAAGCCCATGTGACCCCCAAGGAACAGATCCTCAAACAACCTTAAGAGTAAAAATAAATTGGTTTATTTGGGTCAACTATATGGTCTTAAACACCCAAAAGGAAAGTATAACCAAAGAGTAAAGTCATCAGTATATTTCTTTAAGAGTTCAAGGGATTACACTTCCCAGACATTAGGCTTAAGTCCATACAAAAAGTTAGACAATTATCTCTCATTGATGATTTTGTTCTGAATCAGAAAGTACTGCTCAGATGTAAGACTTCAAATCTTGGTCTGCAATCCTGCAGTGCCCACCTGCAGATAAGGGAGACAACCCACTATTCTAAAATGATGGCCAAATTTGTTTCCTCCCCCTATATAGAAGCCTTTGAGAGGGAACTGACACAGATTCTAACCACTCCAACAGCTATCAAAATGCCTGAAATCAAATCCTAAATCCATCAGTCCAGTGTTGTCATGCAAAAGAAAAATGAGGAGGAACCCAACAGAGGGATGCTTTTGGAAGCCCTT